GTTGACATTATCTGTTTGTTTATTCAGGCTGGTCAGTTTCCTGTAATGCTTTGCTGTCGCCCGCATGAACAAGATAAATATACTTTGCACTGCAAATCTCAAAAGTAAAAGCTTCTGTTTTGTTTTTTTCTGGATTGATTCAATTATTAAATTGAATCCAGAAGTTGGCACTAGACCTTTATCATAACTCACTTTTAAAATTGACACAGCTTTTGCTTAGGTTCAATGTTTCTGTTTTATTTATGAGATTACATTGCCCTGTAAAAAAAAAAAAGTCATATTTCTAAAACCTTTTAAATTTTCTTTGCATCATTACACAACTAGAAACCTGAGTAGATTTTATTGGAATTTTGGTTGGATTAGGTTGTAGAAAACTCTAAAGCTGGGATAAAAAGCTCTCAGACAGAATCTGAAAGTTACTTTAAATTTCAACATTTATCATTTTCCTTTTATAAATGTTGCAAAAACAGAGCTTTGCGAAAGAAAGCCACATCCAAGTCCAGTTTGGCAGTTTACAGCAAAGATGTGGAAGAAATTATTCTGGTTGAATGATACCAAATTGAAACTTTTTGGAACTACAAGCATGTGCTGCAAGAATGTGTGAGACCTAATGCTGTACCTCATATCAATAAAGGCTTTCCTGTTGGTGAATCATTGCAAAGGCAGTATCATGCTGTGGGGATGCTCAAAACCTGGTGATTGTGAGGGGGTTCTGAGTTTAAGCTCCACTCCCACAGACTGCCACTCTGGGTCGCTGAGCAAGACCCTTAACCCCACACTGCTCCCCGGATGCTCCATGACGGCAGCACACAGCTCCCCAGGAGGATGGGTTAATGCAGAGTGAATTTCTCCAATGTGATATTAATAAAGTTGAAATATTATTCAAATCTATAAAGACTTTTAAACACTTTTATCTGGGCCAGAGGTTAAAAGTTATTACTGAGCTATAGACTGTTCTGTCATTTTTAAGCATTGTGGCAAAGTATTGTGTATTCAACAACTTTAACATAGAACAACTGTTAAAAAAAATGTGTTTTAAACAGTGGCTGCCTTGTATTCTACTGTGCATTACCATTCTGTCTGCTTGTATATTTAAAGGAAATACATTTTGCACCATAACCTCTCTATATTCATTCGATTGTTGAGACACATTATCCATCTGACAGTAATTTGTATATCTGGTCCACTTAGCCTTTTATACAACTGTGTGTTTGGATAAGGTGTAAAACTCAAAGCAGCAGAGCATCACTTTTATTATACATTGTTCTTTCCTCCATCTCATCATTATTTATCACCGTTTTTGCAACACATACAGCACCATAGCTGTGTTTACAAAGTGTTTGCTGTCGCCCTGCTCCTTCATCCCATGCGGAAAATCAAACAAATGACCAACAAAAGTTGGGATAAAAATGGCAGCCATATGGACAGAGCTGAGGATTAAAACTTCCTAAGGCTTTGGCCAGATCTCTGTGTGTTATGTAACTGTAGAGCACAACTACTAATCAATTCTAATAAATCCAATAATACTTGCCTTCTTATTCCTCTATGCACTTCAAATTTATTAGCAAGGCTGCACCCAATTGTAGTGAGAAAGGGAACACTTATATGCTAAATCACTTTTAGACAGAAGCCTGGATGGTGTTCAAAAGCAGGTCCTGGAGCTCTGATAATGTGGCCAAATAAAAAGCTTTGCAATAACTGCTGATCCAGAACACCGTCCTGTGGTTCCACTCATTCTCCAGCAGCAGACACTTTTACTATATGTCTAATCATTCTGTATCCTGTGTGGTATACAAATAATACATAAATGAGCTGCTACAGTCACCCCTCACATATTTTCATATCGCCCGCATTTCTCAGCACAAGTCCCGGAGCGCCTTGCTAAAATGATTATACCCCGTGAAAAGGTTCAGTTTTTCAAATCACACCACAAGCTTAAAAATGTTTATGAAGTTTTATATCTGATAAAGCAACAAAAAGAGACACATAACTTTTCTAAATATTTTACAAAATCCATGTGGCATGAGTTTCTTTTCAGACGGCAGGAAAGTGGCCTGGTAAACTAGCCCCACCCACCAGCGGCCAAAATCATTTTTGCCTGTGAGTTTGGTCTAGCCTCGATCACTGCCCCAGGTCCTAGAACTGGCCAAGCACAACACAGAGATGTGTTTTTGAATTTCTGGATGCAAAGCGGGTGGGGTTTTGAGGGCGTGACGACAAAGCTGTACAACAAGAAAGATGGCAACAATTATTGAACAGTTCTCGTTTGACTCAGCTTTGGAATCAGTTTTTGAAGAATTAGACTTGGGGTTTTCATTGAAACGTGAGCAGGAATAGGCTCTATGCTCCTTCATTTTTAAGAAGAACGTATTCGCCATTTTACAGGAAGGCTGTTTGTTTACAATCCACCACCAGCTTTCTGTCGAGCTTCCTATGTCACAGTCAGTTGCACTCATTGGTCAGAGCGTTGGCCAATAGGCACAGACATGGTTTGAAAGACAACAGTTTGTTCTCATCAACAATCTTCCGATGTGTCATTCATCGCAGCCAAACTAAATTACACATTTGATCTCACATTTAGTCTGGTTTATCAGGCTAGGAAACTTATAGATCTTTGGCTGCAAGTCTTTTGGGGTGTTTTTAACTAACTTAAAAGAACATTAAGAAACTGACTTTTTGATCAAAGTATATTTTCAAGAATTGCCACAGATCTTCACTAAACTTGGGTCTGGACTTTAAATGATTCAAACACATGAATTTGTTCTGATCTACGCCATTCCACTATAATGGATGTATGTTTTGGGTTGTGATGTAATACGTGTTCTTCTGGGATTTCACTATTTTAAGCTTCCCAACTACTTTGCTCATCGTCCCTGTTGAAAAAAAAAAAGCATATCCAAAGAAGGATGCTACCCTAACCATTTTCAATCTATGGGGGTTTATTTTTTAGGGTTATATGCTATAAAATTTTATCGGGGAATAAAATAAAAGGTTATTCTTTTGGTCTCATCTGATCAGAGGACTTTTTTCTTCAAATGTTGGCATGCTATTACTCATTGCCAATCATCTATAAAGGTCAGGTTTGTCGAGTGTACTACTGCTAGATATGTAGACAAATTGTCTTACCTGGACTGGGTATCTCCCTAGCTTCTTTGTAGTTACCATGGTTACTTAAGTTGCTTGTCCGATTGGGTGGACGGTTGTGTCTTGGATAGTCCTAAAAAGCACTATCACTATTTTATAAGCTGGGGAAATTATTCTATTCATTTTGATTTAAACATCCCCATCTTTTGTCCTGAAAACAGCTTAAGCATACTGCAAGCAACATCAAATGTTGCTTGCAGTATGCTTCTACACCGGCGGTCTTGAATTACTAGGGATGCACAGCAGTTTCCCACCAAAGTGCTAGGGGGAGTCTATTCGAGAACTCGCGAGAACTTTGGCAGATGGTCACGAGGACTTCTTCTGAGGCGCCGGCGGGAGTGTTTATTTCCAAAACCTTATGTATGAGACATCGTAGAATTGGTTGTACTTCCGAACCTCCTCGATCAACCTCTCGTCATGGTCATCCATTGTTTTTTATTACTCCTCGATTTTTAAAAATGGCGCGGCCCGGCACCGAATCGAGAAGGACGACAACACAGACAGTCGGAAGGACACACCAAGGACCAATCGCAACTGCTTTTTGTCAGCTCACTTCCACGTGAAGTATGCGCGAGTTTGCGACCGTCTGACGTGTAGTCAGGATTTTTTTTGAGGTGCTCGAAGGTTGCAGAACCTCTGCGTTGGGGGCATGGTCGCGCACAGAGACAGATTTGATGTTTGCAGAGGCTATGCATCAGAAGTATAAATTGGCCTTTTCTCACTAACATTCATCATCCTCTAAGGCTGGGTTTATACTATGATTTAATTCAACACAAGTGATGTTTTCTGAAATATGTTATCCCTAAAAGCAGTTTATGCAATTGGATTTTATTCATCATCATTATTCTTCAATGGTTATAGAAGACCATAACCATTTCTGTTTTACTTTTATTCGCAAATAATGTTGAAAACCGTGTATCAGGGATTACCCCATATAACTTTTTCATTTCTGATACGATAGCAATATTTCAACTATGAGAATTGGCCCATTATATTTACCCGATACAATATAAGTATGAATTATACCAGCTTTTATTACTTCAGAATGCTAGAAAATCCTTGATCTAGAAATATTAGTAAAACATGGAACAAAAGTTAATAACAAATCTATGAAAACAACTGACCCATGTCAAATGAACCACAGAGTTACAGAAACTTTTAACAGACGCAAAGTGTTTCTATTTGAAGGAAAATATCTGAGATTTTAGATCTTGGCCGATAAAATCCGACATTAGTTTTTTTGTTACTGACTGATATCTGATATTAATGTCAGATTGGGACATCCTTACCATTTATTCTTTTTCTTCCACTCTGTAACCTTTGGGCTTTACAGACAACATTATGGACATTTGTGGAACAGGTTGACAAACTTTAGGATGATTGAGAGACACCGACTGAGCAGATTTCAGTGATGCAGGAACTGACCTCCAACAAAATTTAAAGGTAGTTAAAGTTAATGGTCTGTGGCTGTGCATTATGTCACCAGCAAAGGGGGGACAGTCTGCTATAGTGTAGGACATGGAGTAAGACAGCTAGAAGATGCTGTCTTTTTAGGAATAAGGAGTTTGTGGCGAAGGTAAAATTATCAGATGGTTGTCCAGACCTCTGCTGGAACTGACTGTAGCTCAGTGCGTTTAACCAATATACCGGTACTCCAACATGATACAGGCTAGAATGAAGTGGAAAAAAGAAGGCATGGAAAGCATCACATGACAGAGTCAGGGAAGGAGCTGCTGCTGCACCATCATCATCATCATCATCAAACTTGTCTTCTAGGTTTAATCATCTTTGGTCTCTACCACAGGCTACAATCTGACCTCCTTTCTGACTGTCCTCCTGCATGACTATTTACTCACAGAATCACTTGCGTTTTTACGCAGCTGCTCTTCCTCTCCCAGCTCCACGGCCGGATCCACTACCAGCTTCTCGAAGCACGCCGAGCCGAGAGAGGAGCTCTTCTGCTGGTACATCATCAGCTGGGACACGGGGAGTTTGGGGCTCCCGTGGGCCGTCAGCTCGGGCTTGCTGCCTGTGGCCCCAGAAGCTGTCCCTAGAGCCGGAGCATCAGAGCTCATCTCCGAGGTGGATTCGGTCTTTTCTCCTTCAAAAGGCGGCGGAGTGGAGCAGCACAAGTTCGGCTGCGACGAGGAAAACACTCGGTCCAGCTGTTTCTTTTTCCTCCTGAACATCCACAACCCGGACTCCTTCTTGGTGCCCTCCGCTCCCCCTGCGGCTCCGCGGCGCTCCGAGCCCAATTTAGGACTGAGCCACGGCTTGGTTTTCTCCTGGAAATTCTTCCACATCCTCCGCTGGTAGGACAGGGACTCGTGGCCCCTGCTGGAGCCTCCGGGTTTGGGGGATTTTTGCTCCATGGTGCCTGTGCAGCAGCAGCCACCCAGCCTGAGCTCACTCTGCAGCCGCTTCGGACGGGTGTTAGAGCCGGGCTGCTGGTGGCGCGCGCTGCGCACGCAGGGATGGTGATGGAGGCTCTGCCAGTCCGCAGAAAAGCTATGCGCGCTAAATTATTATGTCACACTGTGTGATAGGCCATAAACAGTCAGCTATCATTAATATATAGTATACACTCTACCTCAGCAATAAAGTAAAAAATAAACAGAAGGGATTTCTAACCCAGCGCTTAGTTGTGGGCTTCCCCACTATCTTTCTCCACCGTTTTAATCAGAGGTTAGAATAAGTTGCCTATTTTGTGTTGCATTGAAATGACGCTGCGCCTCCCTCTGGCCAAACCTCTTGACTTGATGATTTGGAAACATCCCCCCCAACGCCCTGTGGAGAGGATCGTGATTCAGCTTTTCACCCCTCCTCATCCCTTCCCATGGAGGTTTCATAGTGTAGTGTGCCTGATATGTTTATATATTATATTCACATAAAAAACTAAAAAACAAAAACAATCTAGGTCATGCAGCGCCTTGCTAAGTTTTTCTGTTTTATTTGTGTCTGGTTTGGAAAAAGAATCTACACGACCCATCACACTCCAATAGGGCTGCATCTAACGGTTATTTTGCAAATAAGTTAATCTGTCGATTATTTTTTTCGATTATTTAATTAATAATCGGTTAGATAGAGGTTCCTTTAAAAAGTTTTTTTTTAGGAAAGTAAACCAGGTGAAACTAAAACTTTTCCAAATGAGGAGTTCGGAAAAGGATTAGGGCCACTGAAAAAAAAATAAAAAGTTCTTTTTTTCCCCCAGTTTAATGGGAAATGTAATCTCAGAATTCTGCCTTTAATCTCAGAATTCTGTCTTTTTTTTTCTCAGAATTCTGACTTTTGTCCAGATTTGGTTTAGGATTGTTGACCCAAAGCAGAGGCAGGAAGGCAGAGCTGAACAGAAGGTTGATTTAATGATGAATTACTGAAAAAACAAAGTCCAAACAAAAAGGCAACCAAAAATCCAAAAACGAAAACAAGGTTCAAAAAAACAAACAAGAAACCAGGAGTCCAAAATTCAAAGATAGAAAAAAAAACTCAAGTCAAACGTTACCAAAAAACCATGGAGTCAACAGGGGAAGAACTGTAACCAGGAGGAAGGCTCAGAGAGACGAGTTGGAGGAAGACAGCCGAGGTTAGACGAGGACCCAAGAAGGAGGAACTGAAGAGAGAGGGCTTTTAAAGGAGACAGAGACAAAGAGAGGGCTAATGAGAAGATTGGGAACAGGTGAGTACAGAGCAGAAACCAAACAGGAGCTAGGGAGGAAGGAGAACACAAGAGGGCAGCAGAGGGCAACAAATGAAAAACCTGGAAGAATGGAAATAACTAGAAAACACAAGAAAATAATGAAACCACTAAGACTATAAAACATGGAGAAAAGAAAAACTAAACACTCAAAAATAAACATAACAGAACCAAGACTGAAACAGAAACTAAGAATTAACTAGAGAACACAGCAAAATAAAAATAAAACCACTAACAAGAAAACAAGGAGCAAAACAAAACAAATATAACAGAACCAATACTATGACAGTAACGGAGAAAAAAACCAAATAAAACAATAAATTAAGAATTAAACCATAAAAACTAGGAAACAAGGAGAAAAGCAAAACTGGATACTCAAAAGAAAAACACAACAGTAAACAGAAACCTAACAACTTTAATCTCAGAATTCTGACTTTAATCTCAGAATTCCGACTATTTTCTAAGAATACTGCCTTGTTTTCAGAATTCTAACTTTTTTCTCAGAATTCTGACTTTAATTTCAGCATTTTGACTTTTTTCTCAAAATTGTGACTGAATCCTGAAGCATCAGGCACGTAAAAAGTCACCTAATTCCGTCATTTTCCACCAATGTGTTACTGGCCCCCCCAAACTACTCACATCTTGAGTGAGTTGGGAGCTGAGTGCTCCCACATCTCTTCCTTCATGGTGCCCAACTATATTAAGATAAAAAATTCTGAGATTAAAGTCAGAATTCAGTTTTTTTCACATATTAAACTAAAATGATATTTAAAAATCAGTTAATGTTTTTATTTTTTCCGTGGCCCTCAACCTCTTCCATAGGATAGAGCATATTGACAGACATAATTTTTTTTTTTATCTTAAATGCAAAAGGTTAATATATTTTTTTTTTTTTACAATTTAGATAGAATTTCTGTTATAAGTAGGTTTCTCTGTCAGCTAAAGGCATATTTAACTGTCTCTATACTCCATTTAACGATTGATCCATTACTAAATTATGATGATTATTTCAATAATCGATTAATCACGATTAATCCGATTAATTGTTTCAGCCCTACTCTCCAACATGGAAATATTTTGAACTGGCTGAAGCTCAAGCTCCAGAATTTAAAGTTCTTCCCTGTCTCCAGTCTTTTGCAGCCTAACAGGTGTTCTATTCAGGATCATTAATCCTCTCATTAACTATCCACATTTTTTTCATCCCTGCTAAAGAAAAGCATCCTGAAAGCATTGTGTTTAGCTTATGCATTAGAGTTATTTGGCATGAATACATAAAATAATCTTGACAGACATAAATAATTTAGGTCAAAAGACTAGCAGAAAATATTATGATCGGAGGCAAAAAAAAGTCTTTCAACCACACCATAGATTTAGCAAAGATAATAAACCTTTGCAATATATTTTATGAAGAATACAGTTAACAAATCAATATAAATTTAAATGCATAAAAAAGTGTTTCCTAAAGACAGCCTAGTGATTGGTGAATCTTTTAATTATATGAAATAAAGGGGACCATTTTTAAAGGAGAAAGATCAAATGACGCTGCTCATCTGTTTGCTGAGGTCTTTGCTCTTTGATTATTTTAGTTAATTATATTCTCAGACAAACCTCAGCTGCATATATAGAGAGATCAATCTGCACACAAATGCATTCTATTTACAAGTTAGATGGTTTCTGAAAAAAATTGATTGCACTCTGTTGTAGAATATCAAAATAAAGTGTGCTAAATACATATGCAAGAGTCCTACTAATATATATTAGTATGCTTTTTATCTACATCTCACAGTTGTATTATAGTTCATTATGCTCTTTAAAATATGATCCTAGTTTAAGACTTTTGAATTGGTGGTTTTAATTGGGAAATACCGTAAGTTTAAAAACATGAAGCAATAGAAAGGAAGTACTCTTGCCACTGAACAGAAAGAACTGGGATATTTGACCTCTTTATGTCAAATTGTTTTGTGCACAGCAGCCATGTCCTGGCATGTGTATATTTTCTCTCCAGCAATTAGGTCCAGCTTTGGAGAATGTTACCCCTGTCTCATTTTGTGGCTTGCATAATAACTCATTACCTCATCCCCTCTGGTCTTTGTTTCATTGCTGACCTGTGCTTCCTCCTCACCTAACACCATTCCTACATAAGCACAGTGAAAAAAGACAAGAATCCATTCTTATCTATGTCAAACTGTAGCACAAATGTACAAAAACAGGTCATAGTAGGGGAATCTGAAGATCAAATAGAATATGTTAATGTAGTTATTAATGGCATGCAACCTTGGCCTCAACTGTGAGAGGGATGATGAAGGATGCTTTCTGCTGCAGGATCTTTACCTCTGTTGTTGCACATAAAATAAACCCTCAGTAGAGCACTGATTTATAGCAGCGCTAAACTCTACTTTAGAACAGTCATATTCCTCTAAAAGGAAGCCCTTCACTTCAGAATGTGGCCTAAATATGCTTAGGCAGAGGGTTATGTTTTATTTTCATTCCTTATTCTACACAGAAAAATATTTTATTTACAAATTCGGACTTGCTTTGAACCCTCATTTAGTTAATTGGATGGATATGGGAGCAAACGTGCCAAGAGAGACCTGCCTGTCAGCTGCAACAAGCATTTCCACTGAATCAGAATGGAAAACTGATGAGTCGGCACTTGGACAGCTTCTCTGTATAGTGATCCCATTGCCCCTGGTAAGAGGCTCATTCAAAACGGCACTTACCTGCGTACTCAACATTTACACAGATATTCCAAATGATTGAACTGAGCTGTTTCACTGAATCCAACAGCTTTTAAAAATATAAGACAGGATTGTTTGATATTGTGTCGCCGGCAGGGTTTAATTTATACTTGATTGTTCACTGTTTTCATGTGATTTACTCTCCGAAGCTCAAAATCAGTGATTAAGATAGTAATACGGTAAAGAAAATGTATTTCTTGATCTTATTTCTACCAACGCAGAAAAATAAACACTGTTTTTCAGTTCAGTGGTTTTTAAATTCATTTGTGAATAAACAAGGAAAGGAACCTATTTTCTGCAAAGACTTAGGTTTATGCAACTTCTTTATCTGAATGTGCACCATCTGGAAACAAACCGACAACATCTACACAAATTACACCTATTCTCATATGGGTTGAATTCCAGATTTGTGAGGTAGGAAATACTTTTCATAGCGCTGCATCAACAGTCTGTTTGACTCTTGGTGTCTGGAGGAAAACTATTTGTTCTACAGGAGTGTGAGGAAGGTTAGACAAAAACCTGTTACATTCGCTATTATTCATAAGTGCATTTAGTAATTTATATCAGTGACTCAATTCTGAACTGAACACATATTGATTACACAGGCTGATGTTTTCTAGCTTTTACTTCTGTGGATTATTATGATGATGATGAAGATTTGAAATCACGTCAGACTAATAAAAAAATGCTGATTACAGAAATGATTGCTTCATAAAAAGGGTTAGAACCTTCTTAAAGGTTTTTCTGTACCTTTAATTTGAAAAAAGAGTTTAATAAGAATAAATAGTTAAAACAAAAGACTAAAGCTATACAGAAAAAATATACTTTGAAGCTTTAAAATTACCCTAAAGTGTAACAAGTATATAAAAAGGAGGTTTCTCTGAGAAACGAAGAATGTTCAGTAAATGTTCAAGTGTCAAAATCAATGTCTTTTAGAGAAATGTGTTTTTAATTAGTCTTTTAGGAGCATTGGTTATGCAACACAAAAGCTGTGATGGTCTTAAACATTTTCTGTTTGCTTTTACAGTTAAAGAATTCATCCTCCCAGAATCCCTCCACACGGAGAGAGGAGTGATTAAGTCTGCCAGCAGCTCACACATTTGATGTGTCAGCACAAACATGCATACTGTTAAGCCGACGGGAGAAAAAGCTAAAAAAAAATGAGATTGTTTTGGGTGTGATTGAGTTTTTCTTATGATGGGAAAAATATCAAATCCTTTGACTTTCACAGCATCTTGTCTGAAAAAAAGTCACT